ATGTTACGTAATCACGCGGGGATAGTATTAATTCGAAATCAAAGTAACTGGAGCACTGCGATGCATTTTGTCTGCTGTCTGAAGCAAGCATGCTAGCGGAAGGAAAAGGCCGAAGGAAACTACGAACGAGACGTTTAACCCTTTGCACTCCAAGAGTTTTCTACCAAAAATACCCAACGCTTTCCGATGAAATGTAGTTAACATTTCTTGAAACTGGATTCACGAGCAGTACGTAAATTGAAGAAAGGCTGTTTTATTTTAATATTTTACATATTGATGCATCACACGGAACTTAACGTTAAATATTATACTCCATGAGTTTTCTCTGCCAGATCGAGTGGCGACTGAGAGGTTGTTTTGTAATCTATCAGCAACTGCTAATTTTTATAGTATTCCCAGCGAAAATGAGAAATTCTATAACATTTCTTCTTTCATTTTCCTTATTAGTACAAAATTTGGATGTGCGGAAAATCGAATAGTTTTAGGGTAGTTTCTTTGAGATTCATTGAAATATTTAATATTATATCTGGTGCAATGCTGGAGCCTACAGAGTTCAAAGGGTTAATAAACAATTTGTGTTATACTTGTGTATTCAGTGTGATACAGATAGATGCTAGATGCAAGACCTCAGTTTCATTTTATATTGTTACAACTCTAGTCTCTTTCAGCGAATTCTCTTCTTACCTCCACTAACACTGTCAGACTAGTCACGTGACTCGTGGCATTACCAGGATCGGTCACTGCGTTGTGTCAGTGTTATGTGACTAATTTGGTAGCAACAGCGGGGGTGAGGGGCGAATTCACAGGAGAGTAGAGGGATAAAGGAGGATGAAGTCCAAAGTCAATTTAATAATTTCGATGGAAACACAGTACCGCAATAAATTTATATCATTAACCTACAATATTCCTAATTACCTCGAATATAGAATTCCCTCGATTTCCATTAAACGATTAACCATGGGATCGTTTAAATTATCTTAAAACGTGGAACGAGTTATCGAATATTGAGACTAATTGTAATATTGCACTTAAATAAAATCATAACTAACTCTTCTTTATCAGCCATTGAAAAGAAGCATTGGGACACTGAGGAATCTGAACAGTAATCTCTCGTTTAACGATGCCGCATGATTTTATCGAGCAAACACAGAAAAAGGAAAAAAATAATATTAAATCATTCGATTGAATTGCATTATTATTGCATGTTCATCTGAACATCACCGTATTAGGCAACATTGTTTATATAGAAATGTTTCCAGGTAATCATCATTCAACACTAGAACCGCCATACAAGTGAACATGACCAATTCCTAATTTCTTCTTTAACAATTACTGTAAAGGTGCAAACACTTCTTTGAAAAATGATTAACCATTTGAACTCTGTAGGCTCTAATATTTTACTGAATCAATGGAACTATTAAAATCATTAGATTTTCCACACATCCAAATTTTGTACTGAGAAGGAAAATAAAAGATCGAAGGAATGTTATGGCATTTTTCATTCTCACTAGAGATACTATAATTAGTTGCATTTGCTGTTAAAAAAGCTGACTTAGGAATACCTAAACTGAAACGGAAGCCAATTGAAATCTTAATCAATTCGCACTTATAGCTTTTACAAAGAAATTTTGAATTATTATCAGTTCATTAAATGAACCGTAATAATTTGGTTTGGTTCGGAATTTCCGGCGACCACCATGGCATTCAACGCGTTACAGTTTAGTCGACGAGTTCGACGCACCCTGTAGACATCCTGTAGCGAACCCACGCTGGAAACGCGATGAGCCTCGCAGGTTACACGAACGCAAGCGTATCCTCGTCGCTTTTGTTCCTTTCTCCCACGTACCATGAATATATCTACATATGTACACGCGGTTCGGCGGACGGCGAGCCTTACAATTTTCAAGCGCTCGCACTTGTTACGTTTTATCTCCAAGAATACGGCGCGATATTAAGAGGCACCCTCAGAGTTTCGCCGCATTCTCGCGGCGGCGTGTACACCACGTGGCCCGGGAAGAGAATCCTCGAGCTCGATGAAGCCGAAAAGGAACAGAGGCTCCGGCGAGGGTTGAACAGGAGGCTGGTTGTAATTCATCGCTGGCTAGGAGAGTTGTTATTGCGTTACTGCGAGATACGAGCGAGAAGGAAGAACATGATGGAAGTGGATAGGGAAATAAATAGAAGTATGAACGAAGGAATGAAAAGGTCAAGATAAAGAAAGGAAGGAAGAAGTAGAGTAGATAGAAACAGAGTAGGAGACAAAAGAAAGAGGAGGAAGGAACGAAAATAAGAACGCTAGGAAAGAAGAAATAAAGGTCAACAAATATACAGAAATATGAAGAAATATATCAACAAATATATAAATAGAAACAGAGAGTAGAAGATAAAAGAAAGAAACAGAGCAGAAAGAAACAAAAATAAGAAACAAAGACCAACGAATCTACAGAGATACAAACAAATACACAAATTTAAATAATACTAAATTTAAATACACAAAGAAAGAAACACCGGAGACGAAGGAAGCACACAGAAGAGCGTACAC